AGGCTTGCTCTCTACACAAGGATGGATCTCCTTTTAAAATCTGCTTACATTCTCTTTTCTCCTATTGGAATGTAAAATTTTGAAGTTGGCCTCAATGTCTCCCAAACTAGCCAACCAATCTAGTCCTAGCACCACCTCTGTACCTCCAAGATTAAGAATAAAAAAATCTTGCTCAATTCGGACTCCTTGCATCTCTATTTGTACTGCTTTACATATGCCTTTGTTCTTTTCCTTCTGCCCATTGCCCATCTCCACTGTATACTCTGGAGTTTTTGTCAACTGTATTTGTAATTCAGCCACTAAGAGAGTTGGGAAATAAAGTTACTCGTGGCTCCAGAATCAATCAAAATCAACACCTCTCGTTCTTTTATTGTTGCTTTTATTTTAAAGGATTTTCTTGAAGTGAGATCTTGATAGAAACCAAACAATTACTGAATATCAAAGTTGTATTATTCAGAATATTATGCAGTAAAAAGATGATTGAGCTGAAAGCTCTACAGCCACAAGGGAAACCCCAGAGTACTAGACTCCTCCAGAGGATTATTCTCCTCCTAACCAACTCACAACCTCCTACTCCCGTACCTCCTCCATACTCTCCCTTCTCTCTCCTATAACAGAATTCTCCCTTCCCTGGATTCTAGACACGTCATTCCCCATCCTAACTAACTTCTATTTTAGAGTCAAAGGTGAAATAGAGGAGGTGAAGGTTAATCTGGAAAGTGAAATTGTTGATTTGAGAGTAAAAGAAAATGAATTGAAGAAGTCGGCCAAGGTATTGAATGAATTCACTCATGGAAAGCAGGAAAAAGTGAGCAAAACTAAGTTCAAAGAGGTTCTCTCTTATATTCTCTTGGGTATGGCTGCTAGACTGAAGGGTGACCCAATTGTGATACTTTTTGCATTGATGGGGAAGATCTTCTGGAATTTGTTAATGGTTTGGCTTATGAAGCAGAAATGGCATATATATTCTCTCAGATTGAATCCCCTAACAAATCACTGCATGACCATATAATTGAAGCTCTTGGCAAGCTTAGTGTGGAACAAGAAATTCCTCCTACAGTAGATTCTTGGGTTTTAAGTCGCATTGTAGAATCGACACTGCTATCTCAAGATAGATATGGTTTGGATAAGCCTGTTTCTCAAGAGACATTTTTTGAGGAATTTAAGGTAGTGGCATTGGTTGTGGCTAATTGTCTTAAGGAGAAACCACTCATAGTTGCTCATAGTGAGAACACCTTTGATGGAAGTGGTGTTAAGTGACTACTCTCCAACAAGTTTGAATTGGACAAGACTTTGAACTCAGCTTTAGAGATTTTGCCTAAAAATCAAAATGGAAAGATGTCGAAAGAGTATCTACAAGTGTCATTGGACATGTGGCTCCATCTAATGTTTTACCTTCTCTGGTGTGGGTTAATGCAGTTGGAAAAGTTTGGATGAAAGATAGAAGACACATTTAATTTTGAGAGTTTTGTTAGGATAAACTTAAATATGATAGATTTAATTGGATTGTTTATTTGTTTAAAAGTTCTGTCACTTTTAGAGTGCAAGAGTCACTAGTGGTTATGTTAGGTTCCTAGGTTTGAAACCTAACTAAGAACACAAATTGTAGGTAGAAACAATAATGGAAGAATGGTTTTTTCTATTATTCACCGTAAAAGAATCCTCTTTACAAAGAATGGGTTGGGAGCATAACCTCTCTCTACAGGCTAAAAACCTGACTTTACACAAAATACACATGATACCCTCTACAGAGTTATAAGAGCTCTATTTATAGCAGCTCTGACCCGCTCCCCCTTTTACAACCGACACCCCATACCCTTAACTTCTAAACCCAATCTATCCTATTATCCTATATCCTAACATTACATCCCGCTGCAAAACAACCTTGTCCTCAAGGTTAGAACCGAAAAACTTGATTCTTGGCTCCTCTTCATCATCTTGTTATCATATGAAGGGAACCCACTGGCTACAGCCCACCAATTTAGGTCTGGAGGCTTGGGTGGTGGTCGAAATAAGAGACAATTTATGGGACCATCTTTGCGTCTTCATTATTTCCTTGAAGGTGAGGAGCTTCCTATTCTTCCCTGTAAAATAACTTCTTTTACCGCTCGGCTCGCTTTCCCATGCCTTTCTACTGTTCGGTTCCTGCCGTCCTCTTGCGTTCGGGTCCGACAGTCCTCTACCGTACGGTTCCGGCAGTCCTCTATCGTACGGTTCCAGTAGTTCTCTACCGTACGGTTCGGGTAGTCCTCTCATGTTCGCTTCCGGATGTCCTCTCCCGTTCGGTTCTGGCAGTCCTCGACCGTTCGGTTCCTTCAGTCCTCTCGGGTTCGCAACTTGTAGTGCTAGCCCGTTCGGTTCCGGCCGTCCTGTCACGTTTGGCTTCGTCAGTCCTCTCCCGTTGGGTTCTAGCAGTTCTCTACCGTACGGTTCGGGCAATCCTCTCACATTCGCTTCCGGACGTCCTCTCCTGTTCGATTTTGGCAGTCCTCGATCGTTCGGTTCCGACAATTCTTTCACGTTCGATGTTGGGACATATTCTTCCACGGTTCCCGACTGCTTACTGGCCACTCCCCTTTCAAAGATGGTACCCCCGTTCCATTCTCCAAATCGTAGCACCACTACCCCCTTCAGACCTTCCCAAGAACGATTCTTGGCTTTCTCCTTCTATGCTCTGAACCAGTAGTCAGCGCTCCCCTCCATACTGATGTCAACTAGGCGCACCTTTTCCTCCTCTGCCACATCTTGCAACTCGAAGAACTTCTTTGCCTTAGAGACCCACCCCAACGGATCAAACCCTTCGAAAGTGGGTAGTTCTACCCTTTTCCGCCATTGATTCTACACCTCCTAGTGATCACCACCCACTCTCCCTCAAATATCCTCCTCGCTCCGTCGCTGGTTCTCGTTTACGGAAGTCTGACTTCCATCTGAGTGTCCTTCGTTGTTGTGAGTCTGAGCCCCCATCATCCTCATTATTTCTTGCAAGTCCCGGCGTACTGCGGCGGATTCCGCCTTCATCCCCTCCATCGTAATCTCCAGAGCCTCCAATCGTCTCTCCGTGCTTCCCTCCGTCTTCACTTCGCACCCCATTTAGATCCAACAGTTTCTTGATAACGTCTTGATCCCTTCTTGATCCGGCAACGCTCTGGATGATCCGACCGCTTCTCGATCCGGCAGGTCGGACCAATTTGTCATGTTCCTGGGTTTGAAACCTAACTAAGAACACAAACAATAGGTAGAAACAGTAATGGAAGAATGAGTTTTTCTATTATTCACCATAAAAGAATCCTCTTTACAAAGAATGGGTTGGGAGCATAACCTCCCTGGTTGAGAGCATAACCTCTCTCTACAGGCTAAAGACCTGACTTTACACAAAATACACTTGATACCCTCTCCAGAGTTACAAGAGCTCTATTTATAGCCCCCTTTTACAACCGACACCCCCATACCCTTAACTTCTAAACCCAATCTATCCTATTATCCTATATCCTAACAGGTTATTAGACAATAATAAGAAATAAATGGTGTCTTAATGATAGAGTTTATGACTTTATAGGTGAAAAGCCAATATGTAAGTTTATAAATTTTAAGTGTCACACAATGTGACATACACTAGAAGCATATTCAAAAAATATTACTGAGTATCATTTTCCTAACATGATAAAATCTGAACCAGCAATCGATGGCACTATGACCTGGTTTTCCACAGAACTGACATTGTTGTCTAGAGGTGGTAGATGATGAAGATCTGTTTGTACGTTTGTTGTTCCATCAAGGTTGTCGAGAGGAGTTGCTTGACTGTCGAAAATTGTTGGAACGGTTGGCAGAGAAGTTCTTGGACGCAGCGTTGGTAGAAGACTATGAAAGATTAGCATGAACAGAGGATTGATCAGCAAACCTATGACGTTCGAAAAGTTCTTCCTGGGATAAGCGGAGAGACTAGATATCCTCAACGGTATAAGGATCCATTTTTGAAATGGCGGAGGTTACAAAACCTTCGTAATCTTCTGATAATCCATCAAGGATGCATTCGACTGGATGTGTTCTTCGGTTTATATGAGTATCCAACGTGTGCCAAAGGCACATGCATGTCCAGTTATTAGATATTTACGAAATAGTGTCATACTTGGTAGCATGCTGACAGCAACATTTTGTCACTATTTATTCTTAAAATGTGACTGGTACAGATGCATAAATTAACTGGGTATTCATTTGAATTTTTCAGACATTCTACAAAAAGAAATTTTAATCCATCTATGATTCTCAAAAATATTTTTTTTTTTCAATTAAAAATGGATATCTCCAATATATATATCACGCATCACAACTTAAGCCACCACAAACTTGTATTTCATGTAATTATTATATATACTTTATTTTATACATAATAATTCTTGTAAATTTTCAAGACATTGGAATGGTTGGAAATGTTTCTGCTGGAGTGGGAGTGCACTAATGTGGAAGGGACTTATTCTTGAGGGGGAGATTTGTTGGAATCCAAAGTAGAAATGAGAAAGTAGAGTACCTTGAAAGACTCATTAACCTATTGCTTTAAGGTTTTGGGTAGAGAGTGGTGTCAATCTCTTATATGGTTAGACTCATATTTCATTGGTATTGTATCTTCTAAGTGAACCTTTCTCCTTGATAGATTGGATTATATGAGTCCCACCAAAATACGCTGCCACCCGAAGCTGAAGTTAAATTCATAGTAGAACATACTTTCAGAAAAGCTGGGGACTGGTGTAAGTTTATCAACTCTTGTAGCCAACATAATTCTTACAGACCTAATGAGAGTGGTGTCAAATGGATTTTATATGATTAAATTAGGATTTATCTTTTCTTTTAGAGTGTTTTTGGTTAGCCGTTCTAGTAATATCTAATAATGCTGAAGTTTTTTCACGTCAGTTATCACGTTATCAAAGTTCAATAACCGATTCTTAGTTGCTTCTAGCTTTATTGATAATCGGCCTGCAACTATAATAATCGTTATTACTTGACAGAGTCGCCAAGTACCAGGAAGCAAATCCCGGTGTGTACACAATTATCACGTTTCCATTCCTTTTTGCTGTAATGTTTGGTGACTGGGGGCATGGCATATGCCTATTACTAGCGGCTTTGTATCTCGTAATCAGAGAGAAAAAATTTTCAAGTCAGGTACTTTACTTATGGTGGTGGATTTTTTGTATTCAATCTGAATGTTTCCTCCTATTATATTTTATGCCAGTATTACTTCTGTTCAATGTTGTTAATAACGGCAGAAACTTGGAGACATAATGGAAATGGCTTTCGGTGGACGCTATATTATTATGATGATGGCACTCTTTTCAATCTATACCGGGTTCATATATAATGAGTTCTTCTCTGTTCCATTTGAATTATTTGCTCCATCTGCCTATGGATGTCGTGATTCTTCATGCGGGTGGTTATCAGTACAGTTTATTTAATTTTATTAGATTTTACTTTTCTCTTAAACTAATTGGTTACATTATTTGTGTGCAATATTTATTTATTCCATTTTTTAGGGATGCTTCTACAACAGGTTTAATAAAAGTGCGTGACACTTATCCATTTGATGTGGATCCTAAATGGCACGGTACTCGGAGTGAACTCCCATTTCTTAATTCTTTGAAGATGAAGATGTCAATTCTGCTGGGCGTATCCCAGATGAATCTTGGAATCATAATGAGTTACTATAATGCAAAATACTTCGAAAACGATATAAATATCTGGTAACAGCAAAAGACAATTTTATTTTTTTTCAGGCTGTAGTTTATGGTGTTCATTGTTTGATTTTCAAATAATGACTCAGGTACCAGTTCGTTCCCCAGATGATATTTTTAAATAGCATGTTTGGCTACCTTTCACTCCTCATAATTGTAAAATGGGGCACTGGGTCACAGGCTGACCTGTATCATGTGCTTATATACATGTTCCTTAGCCCAACTGATGATTTAGGTGAAAACCAGCTTTTTTTTGGTCAAAAGCTCCTTCAAGTAAGAAATTTCAATTTGATTTAGATACATTTGTTTTAGCCAGATACCTCGTCTGAACTTCCCACTGTTTCATTGATGTTAGCTTGTGTTACTACTGTTGGCACTTGTTGCCGTACCATGGATGCTAGTACCAAAGCCCTTTCTCCTGCAGAAGCAACATAAAGAAGTACACTCAACCATTACTTTGTTTCTTTCTTTGTCATTTGTAGTAAATCACATTCTAATTTCCATTACCTTGCTTCCTCAGAGGCATCGAGGTCAATCTTACTCTTTGTTGTTCAACAAGGATGATCCTGATGAATCAGAGTCACCAAGTGTTCCCAGTAATATTGATGATGAGTTTGACTTCAGCGAGGTTTTGGTGCACCAACTCATACATATAATCGAATTTGCGCTTGGAGCTGTGTCTAATACAGCTTCGTATCTACGTTTGTGGGCCCTCAGGTATGTGGTTGAAAGCATGTCACTCGGCTTTCTCTTCTTGCACCCCCTAATTTCTTGGTGCACCCTATATTGTTTTCAAATGAGCATTTCACCCTTTGTAAAAGTGACCTCCCAATTACGTGCGAAATTTTTCCAGAGCATGATTTTCAGAACAGGGACTTTCGGAATAAATTCTTAAACAAGCTTTCTAGAACAAGATTTCTAGAATAAGCTTTTCAGATATAATATTTTCTGGAATGAGTTTTCTGGAATAAACTTTCTATAAGTTATAACACATGGAATGGGCTTGGAAAATAGCTTTCCAGAAGGAACTTTTCTCTGCAATGTGTTCTTCTTCCTCTCGAATGTTCTCCCTCTCTTTTTCTTGCTCTGCAGAGGTGAGGGTAGCCGCAATGGTGCAACGGCGGCAATAGCAATGATGTGATACAGTGAGGGAGGATATTTTAGTCTGTTACTATTATTACGAGTATGGATTTACTAATGATGGGGTGAAGGTAGCAAAAGCCCTATGATTCTGTGAATTTCCAGTGAATCAAAATTAAATGGCTGTTTCACCTGCATCTCCAATCATTTCACTTTGCACCTCCAAACGAGTATATAGGAAACCATCCTCTCATGATTACACAGATCAGTGCCCTCGTGAATTGAGTGCATCACCCCAAGGTTACATTGGATCAAACAATTTGTGGTGGACCAGTTGCTGAAAATGAACTTATATCTAGTAAAACGACGAAGAACAGTAAAGCCTTATATCTAGTAACTCACCAGTCAGTAAACCCACATATTCTGGTTTTGTCCTTGGTACTGCATCAACAAGTTTCAGGATCCAGCCCGTTTTTTGTAATTTCAAGGGTTGGATGTTTGGAAATTCTAGTCTGGGTTGTTAAATGAAAAAAAAAAAGGTGATACGGTTTTATTATCGTCCACGCATTAGTTGCTGCTACTTGTGTTCTACAAGATTTTCTTATCATTTTATTTCAATAGTAACTAGTGTCCTGTAAAAATGGAAAGACTTTTATTAGATACGAAAATATTTAATATATTGGAAATATAATAAATGGCAATAACACTTCTATTAGATGAACTAGTATCTAACAAAAGAGATTTCACCAAGTCACATTCACATCAAAATTTGTCTATTATAAAATGGTGAACTAAAGTCGAATGTTCATTTGAAAATGTCTATATGTAGTATCGGACAATGCTTCAATTGTTTCTAAAAGAAGTTATCTGTGGGAAAAGTAAACACTTTTGCCTGTTTAATTAATCAGAAGCATTTAGTACATATTTGATGTTCCCCCACATTTAAGATACTTTTACCTCAACCCTTTGTTGTAAACCGTTCTACTTCAAATAAATCATATTCTTTGATTATAATTCTTTCCTTGGTTTCTGGTTTTATTCAGCTTAGCTAATTCCGAGTTGTCCAGTGTTTTCTATGACAGAGTTCTGCTTTTGGCCTGGGGGTAAGTTCTTTAGTTGTGCTTTGGAAAAGTGGTGGGCCATTAAGAAGGTTGGTTATTTGATGCATTAACCCTGAATGTTTCCGTGACCAATGCAGGTACAATAACACTATTATTCTCGTTGTTGGCGTTTTTGTTTTTATCTGTGCAACTGTTGGTGTGTTACTGTTAATGGAAACTCTAAGTGCTTTCTTGCATGCTTTGAGACTTCACTGGGTAGAGTTCCAGAACAAATTTTACGAGGGAGATGGTTACAAGTTCTTTCCATTTTCATTTACATTACTTACGGATGAGGATGATCTGTAAGGTGCGAAATACCAGATGATTTTCTAATAGATATGCCCCCACACAATCAAGTGGTGTATAGTGTAAAGTGATTTTGAAATTCAATTATTTTAATTGTTTTTACTCGCTAATTCTTCTTGTTTCCAGACCACATTAACATGTCAAATTAATGTAATACACAGTTTATATCTGATGTCATGAGACGTTCAGTTTACCTGTGCTCTTTTAACAGATGTCTTTTGCAGTTTACTGCAAGACATTGGAAAGTGACAACGTTAATTGTGAGGACAAATTCATTTCATTCAGGTTACGTGCAATAACTATTGATAACGGTGGGTAATGTTTTGTAGCTAGACAAGCTAGCACACAAAATTGCAGAAAAAGTAAATCATTAACGTGGTCATACAGTTTCCTCCTCCATAAAATTACGTCATCCAAATTTACATCCACACTATACGTGTGCCGCTACCATGAGTTGGCATCCTTATATATTTAATGGTTAGAAATATGTATTGCAGTTACAGATGAGACCATCGAGTCCACCCCACATATATTGTGACCTCTGCAGATCTTGTAACATCGGTTTTCTCCCCAGCTCTCCCCCATGAATTCTTTACGATCCAGTAAGGCTTTTACGGAATGGGAGAATAAGCAACAGCACCATAGCCACTCCATGATTCAAATGCTTGCCGCAGATGCATAAGCATAAGAAACCAGCAATATATGTTACATAAAAACTGCATGGATATCAACTGTGCCATGAAAAGAAAAAGTCAGTGTTTATAGATTTAATATCTTATTATTGGGGATGGAGACGATCAAAGAACTGAAAATATCCTGCAGATATTTTAGCATTTTCTTTTGGGGGTGGGTTTAGAAATATTACGGAGTCAAGAAAAGAAACAGCTACCTGCAAGGAGCATTCTTCACTAGATTAGAACAAATTTGTTCTTCGTCAAGGGAAACCACGCTAAAATTAGCAACAGAAGCAGCGATTTTGCTCTTGTCAAATTTGCAGGGTCCACGGTCTATTCCAGTGTAAGGATAATCCCTTTCTCGCATTCGTTCACCAGCCTTGAGTGAGTACTAAAATGCGGTGGCCATCAACTCACCGTTACAACCAGAGTTGCATGCTCTTCCGTCTCACAGTAAGAAAGTTGTAGGCACATAATTAATTCATAATGTTTTTGAAAAATCCAAACCAGACCATTAAGGTGGTTGGTTAATTTTGTTATCTTCTTATCTAACGAACTTGTGTAGAAATTCTCAAAAAAGAGTCCATGGATATCATGTTTTAATATATCACAATTGTGGTCAAACAAAGTGATATGCAACTATAGGAAGGACAGATTAGTAATTGGAGGAGACAAGATTCTAAGAATAATAAAGACTAAACTCATTATCACAACCTACGAGTTGTTGTTCGCTAAGGCTCACGAGCTTACCAGTTGAAAGAAAATGAGCACCTTCCAATGCTCCCACACGATCCGCACGACCATAATTAGATTGTAATGCACATTAGGTAAGGTGTTGGATATATCCATTGGCATATGAACAATCATCATCGTTATTCTATAATTCGAGCAAATACCTTTATTAAAAACAATATGAAAACCAAGATTATCCAACATAGAAATTGAAATAATGTTCGAAACAAAATTAGAAACATAATAACAATAGTCTAAAACTAGCACTTTGCCAGTCAACATTATTAAAGAAACTATTCCAGTGACTTTGGCTACAACACTTGCTCCACTTCCTAATTGGACACTTATTTGTAGTCGCTGCAACGAATTGCATATGTTAAAGATACTATCCAATATCTAATACCCATATAGAAAGATCAATAACTATTAGGAAAATCATGAAAACATTTTTCACCTTGTTTCTTTTCTTTCAAAGAATCAAGATATTTATAGAAATTTCTCTTCCAATATCCTTTTTCGTTATAGAAGAAACACTGAACATCACTTTTGTCAACACGGTCTTTCTTTTGCTTAGGCTTGGTAACACCAACATTAGCTGCAAAAGTCTTCTTTTCAGGCTTGTATTTGTGTTTGCCCACTTTCTTGTTAGACTTTCCAGCTGCGAAGATAGATCCTTGATAGAATCAATTTGATTTTGATTGTCAACCTATGTCATGTAACTCACAATCCATCTTGTACATGTTAAAATTAACAATGAATTGTGAAAATGAGTCACGGAGTGATTGTAGAATCAAATCTTGTGATAACTCCTTTCCAAGTTTGTAATCCAACTTCTTAAGTTGTTCTATAAGCACTAGTGCAGTCAGGGGAAATCACAGCAGTTATTTTCGATCATAGACAGCGATTCTTGAATTGAGGCAAAAAGTCTACACCTTTATGCCTCGGTTGAACCGAGGCATAAAAGTGTAAGATTTCACCTCGATTTAAAGGCAACCGATGCAATATGTTTTTGTTTTTTATTTTTTTTGGAAGGACTTTACGCCTCGGTTCCTTCTGAACCGAGATAGTATGGCAACCTTTACTGCCTCGGTTGGGACCAAAACCGAGGTAGTAGAGTGTTTTTTAATTTTTTTCTTTTTCGCTGACTTTCTGCCTCGGTTGGGACCAGAACCGAGGCAGTAGAGTGTTTTTTAATTTTTTTCTTTTTCGCTAACTTTCTGCCTCGGTTGTGACCTTAACCGATGACATATGGGGGTTTTCTGCCTTGGCTATGGTCACAACTGAGGCGTATTCCCCTGTTTTTTTTAGAACATGTCTGTTTCTACAACATTCATAATTGCAGAAATAGACATGATAATAATTTTACAACCAGAACAGTCCAGAACAATCCATAAGCATATATTTTCAATAAAAATTATATTAAAACATAAATACATTTAATGTAATCATAAATCAACTTCTTAGAAGCATAAAGCAATCCAATGTAATCATAAATCAACTTTGAAGCATAAATCAATGCAATGTACAAAGTTAAACTAATAATAATGTACAAAAGCATAAAACAACTTAGAAGCATAAACTTGAACTTACTATATCCTAATATCTACTACATACTATTATATAGTTGAATTACATATTTAGCTAGTGCTTTCTTCACGAGTTTAAGTGACTTCTTTAGAATTGGAGTAGTCATATTGAATCTCTGCATAAAACACAATGATTTCAATTAGTGTAAATGAAATCTAAACTATAGAGAAAATAAAATTCAAACCTAAATATTATCGTTTCCCATCCACTGGTGTAATGTGCACAAATAATGGTCATGATCCAATACATGACGTAGTAACCATACTCATATGACCCGGTTTGTCTATTACACTATAATATATCATCATAATTATAAAATGTTAAGTAACATCATTTGAATGGAACCAAATGTAACAAAGTTTGGACTAAAATACCAAACCTTAAGGGCAACCCATGCAAGCTTTTTAGCTGTAGCAGTAGATCTCCCAGATAACATCATATGTGTTGCAAGGGAACTATTATAAAACATTTCTTTAGCATACATTTATATAACAAAGAAATTTGAAACATTAAGGTTCTTACCAATCTACTACATGTCTAAGAGGGCTGGGAGAAGACTTGTGCAATGAACAAAACCAGACAACAATGTTCTTCGGTATGGAGATCACAAGTAGCTGTCAATGACGCCTGAAATTGGTAATAACTTAATTGTCATATACCAAAATTAATAAATGAACTTTAAAGTTAACAAACTTCACTTACCCAATTATATAAGGGAGAAAATATGTCATTCCCTATTGCAAAGCGGGTGATGATGTATGCTTGAATATCATCAAATTTATTTCTTTCATGAGTCATATAGGGGTCAATGAACCCATATACATCATTGAACCTCTTCTTGTTACTGACATCACATATATACCTGAAATGAAGAAATGATCTGATATAAGTAATTTGATAAAAAAGTTATATAAAAAAGTTCTCATAAACTTACATCATCCATAGCTGAATGAGTGTAATATTAATTTCTTCTCTCCCCGACGGAAGCTTCCTAACATCTTGCTGATGCAAGTACAATGGGATATGAGCTTCTCTTCCAAATGTAGTAGAATCCCATGGCACAATCATCGACTTATCTGAAATGATGTTAACAAGCTTGTCTAACGCCCTAGAGGGTCGTCCTCAGATAAATGAGTCTTCTTCGGTGTAGGACTTCCCTCTTGACCTGTCTGCTGTTACATGTTAAAACGATTATGTTATGACGTCAATAATAAGTAAATATTAAAATTGAGAAGTACATCACCAACCAAATGTCTAGGCCAGGTGATGAAGGACTTAAATGCCTCTTGCACAATGAAAAACTCATCTGTAGGCACAAGAACAAGGGCATCTGGTACGACAACTTCATCCACCATGACCTTGACCTCATCTTCTGCTAGCTGTACACCATGCACTACAGTGGCTGTCTCATAGACTGTGCCACGAGCCACTAGCATGGTCCTGGTAGGAGAGAGAATATATAGCTGACATGGATGAGTGTCGTCCATGTCGTCCCCTAGGGCACCGGCAGTTGAGCAACTTCCTTTGTCGCTTGTACCTGTCAAATTAAATGTTAGGTTACATAAAAAGTAAATTAATTAACAAAAATGATTGTTAGGTTTACTTGTAGGGGACACAATATGTTCTGCTACAGGAGATGGCGGAGGACGATTGCCATAATCCTCATAACAGTGTTGGAACTGGCGCGCAACCATTTCAGCAACTTCATCATACAACTTTGCCCGGACCTTCTTTGTGATCTCCTGCGTCATTGATAACATTTGAAAAACTGTTATTTTTACACCTAAAATTGACTTCAATTACAACCTTTATGACTTAGAAATTAGCTTGAACTCATGATTTTGTTGAATTATTGGAAATAACAGAGTTGGACAAGTTTTATGCTTGATTTCCTTGTTTTTGCAGGTTTTTAGATGAAATTGATGAAAGAAGTGAAAAGGGATAGAGATGGAATCAGAAAAGGACACAAAAAGTGCAAAAGTGGAGAAAACGCAAGTACCGATCAGCGCCAATTACCGCTGAGGGGAAGAAGTGGTCACGCATTACTACCGCTGAGCGACACTTTTCTGGGCTTGGGCCTACTTTTCTGTATTTTTTAGAATATTATATAAGCTTTAGGACGTTCTAGAGTT